AGCCGTTTTAGGTAGGCGTGGTTGACTCTTAACTTTTATAAAGAATATCTCTTTGGATTTGAGACTTTAGTCTTCGCAACTTTACAGATCTTCTTTTTCACTAACAGCTTGTAACACCAAAGAGAAAGGAAAAATTGAAATCGCATCATATGACCCCTTTAAACACAATTAAAGATCTCTATGCCTGGTTTTACTTTCCATATTTCTTGGTATCCACTTAACTTTTTTTTTCCTTAAAGTGAAAATAAACCCAAAAACGGAGGAATCTGTGTGGCCAATCATACCTCACCTATCGACGTCATCATTCTGGCCAGTGACGGATGCTACGCTATGGTAGTGTGATGTTTGTGTTGATGATTTAGGTTCAGTGTTGATATTGAATGCATTAACTCTGTCTCTCTGTGTGAATCAGGTGGGTCAGGTCCATGGTGGTCTGATGGGGGTCATTCAGAGGGCGATGGTGAAGGCCTGTCCTCACATCTGGTTTGAGAGGTCTGAAGTGAAGGACCGACACCTAGTGGCCAAACGGTAACATTGCATTTCCCTCGCATATACAGTATTCAACTCCTCCAAGATTAACTTGCAGTTATGATTTGAACATTGCTGTTTGTCCCAATCAAACTGATTTTATTTTTTAGATTAAGTGACCACGTTGCAGACACAAGCAAACTGCCAATCCTCATATTCCCAGAAGGTGAGTGTTAAAACTCCTGCTTATATTACCATTTCGTACTGAAGTATATGAATATATGTGGAATAAATACACTGTCTTGTCATTTCTAAAGGAACTTGTATTAACAACACTTCAGTCATGATGTTCAAGAAGGGAAGCTTTGAGATCGGCAGCACTGTTTACCCTGTGGCTATAAAGGTTAGAAGTTAGAACAGCCTCCTTTTTCTGTTATGTGCTGGCTTTGTTGTTTATAAAGTGTTTTAAAGTCCTCTTGCTGTTATTTTGGCAGTATGACCCTCGTTTTGGTGAAGCGTTCTGGAACAGCAGCAAGTTTGGGATGGTGAACTACCTGCTGCACATGATGAGCAGTTGGGCCATTGTGTGTAGCGTCTGGTACCTTCCACCAATGAGCCGTATGGTGAGTGGTGAACCTTCGAAAGAGACATGCATCACTATATACACACTGCTGTTCAAAAGTTTGGGGTCAGTAAGATTTTTTTAAGAAATGTATACTTTTATTGAGCAAGGATGCATTGATTGATCAAAAGTGACAGTAAAGACATTTATAGCGTAAAGATTTCTATTTCAAATAATAGCTGTTCTTTTGAACATTCGAAGAAATTTGAAAAAACATGAAAAAATAACCCCACAAAAATATTAAGCAGCAGATTTGTGAAAGAGCATTAGACACTGAAGACTGGAGTAATAATGCTGAAAATTCAGCTTTGATGACAGGAATAAATAATATTTTAAAATATACTAAAAAACAAAACGGTTATTTTGGATTGTAATAATATTTCACAATTTTACTGTTTTTATTGTAACTTTGATCAAATAAATCAGCCTTGTGAACAGTGGTTTGTATATCTTTTCAGAACTCTGAGACTATTTTTGAGCTTGTTGGTCAATCATTCACTATGTGTAGGTGAGTTTTAAATTCATATTTTTACAGGAAGGGGAGGACGCTGTGCAGTTTGCCAATAGGGTCAAAGCGGCCATCGCTAGAAAGGGAGGACTGGCTGACTTGTTATGGTGAGTTCCCATATTAAATAGTGCCAAACACACAAGTCACTAAATAGGATGTGCACTGACATTTTGAAATTAAATGAAGCTCAAAGCCTTTGTGTTTTGCATGTTCACAGGGATGGTGGTTTAAAACGAGGGAAAGTTAAAGAAGTTTTCAAGGAGGAACAGCAGAAACTTTACAGCAAGGTTTTAGTGGGCAGCAGCGAAGACCGCAGTCCCTCTTGAAGACGCAGCTGTCTGCTTGACTTTACACATGCTGTTCGGTGCTTACAGCGAGAGCCTGGACCCTCAGTGGATGCAGTGCGGCCCTAAACTGGCCCCTTCCTGAACCTGCTCAGACTGAACTGTAGAACTGAACTGATGAAGTCATTGTGAGTTGGTGGGAAAACTGCGTTGCCAGACCCTCGGCTCACTGCTGCGCCTCAGGAGCTTTTGCATCATTGCACGAAAGTGCCTGTGGCATTCAATTCCTGGGCTGACTATGATTTCAGTTTGGAGTGAGAGTTACACATGGCATACTTGAGTGAATTTTTTTTCCCTTCACAGTCTGTTACAGTTTTGAATATTTGTGCTGTTACTATAATGCATGATGTCCCAGGAGAAGAATGAGTGGAAGAGTTTGAAGTGATTTATTTAAGCTTGTAAAAAAAAAATCAGAGGAAAAGTTGAAAGGATGGTGTGCGTAGAACTTTAGTGTTTGTAGAACCATGAAGAACAATATCTGTTAAGTGTCTAGCTGCTCAGCGTTCATCTCCTCATGGCAGCCTCTCTAGTGTGCTGTTTGTTCTTTTTTTTTTGTATACATTTTTTTTTTTTAAACTGAGTTAATTTCTACTTTTAATTCGTACATTCAATCTATCAAGCTAGTAAAAAGATAATACTTTTTTTCTCCCAGTTCAGATTTATGTATTTATTTATTTTATTATTTTGTCAGAATTGCGGGTTATTATCTCGCAAGTCTGCCTTTTTGTGATAATTGTGAGAGAAAATCGCAATTTTGAGGAAAAAAGTCAGAATTGTGAGTTAAATTGCAATTAACGTATTTTTTTACTCCGTTGTGGAAAAAGAAAAATTGCTATGTAATAAAAATAGCCGCATTTTTAAAAAGTTGTATCACTTTTAACTGTCGCGAGACCGTCAAACGCGAAACGTTGCAACAGATGCGAAACATATTGGTCGAACACTTGCGTCTAACGCATGTTTACTTAAAAACAGGAGATGGAAAACGCTTTCTATGTGAACGGCTCAATATAATATCGTGATAAATATTGACGATAATTAGCCTATTATTTTATCCATGTACTGTCCGATACAGCGAACCTCTTATGTTTACCAGTCGAACGCGTACTCCCAAGCGTACGTTTAGCTCACTTTACTGACTTATGAATTTGTGTAGTTACTGAAGTTAAAATACAATGTCGTAACTTAATTTTAAAGTATTTTACGACCTCCCCACCTTAATTAGCACGTCGAAACGGTTTACAAAACATTTTATTTTCGTACTACTTTTTAAACGTGTCTGCGGCTTGATTCTATTTACCAGAAGGTGCAATCAGCTAAGAACATCATGTGCAAATGTTTAAGGGTGGTGCTGACTCCACACAGAGCCTCCTCCATATCTCTAAGCTACAGAAGAACTTTAAAAATACACCATAAACACGGCTGGCCCCTTTAGTCTTACTGGCACAGGCCAGAGTAAACACAAACCAATTTTGTTGTTCTGAAAGGGCATTTAAATTGAAAGCTCGTGGCAGACAGATGACATTTCGACTGAGTTTGACAGGTCCACCACCATGGGGGTTTCGTATCTGTGGAGGAAGAGACTTCAGGAGAAGCCTGACTGTCTCAAAGGTGAGTTAAAGATATCTGGCCCACATTTTCTTATGAACAAAATATGGAATGTGTTCAGCATAAGATGCCTTTGATTTCTGGTGTGTTAAGGAGCTGTGAGGACTTACCATAGGGTGTTTTGTCAGGTTCGTGAAGATAGCCGGGCAGGTGATGCTGGGATGCAGGTGGGGGACGTCATACTGGAGATTAATGGTCAGGATACTGGAGCTATGTTGAATATGGAGGCTCAGAACAAAATTAAGACATCTGAACATCAGCTGTGGCTTCTAATTGAAAGGTGGTAAAATAAAAATAAAAAATATGACTTTGCTTTGGCAAAATTACATTCAGTTTCATAACTAAATGCTACATTCTTTACAGGTTTACCATGTTAAGGCATATTTCAACCCTAAATTACCCTAAAAAAAGACAAGTGTATTTTAGGTACCATGCAGGGGCTTGTTTTTTAATGCATTATTTTCACAAGCCAAAACTCAAATTACAATAATCTAAAATTGCTCACCTAACTGTAATGCAGGAAAAAATATTTTTTTATGTATTATTTCATATAAAAAACATTTGAATTTAAAATTTACATTTTTGTATTCGTTTAAAAATGAATCATTCAAAATTACAATCAGCATTGAGAATAAAAAGAATTTCAATAAAATAAAATAAAATGCTAATTTCAAAAAACACCGTAAACCCAGGAGACAGAAATATATTCTATTAACCTTTTGCTAATGTTCCTCTTATAAAAAAATATTTCTATGAATGTTCAAAACATCCAGTTTGTTAAAATTTATTTTAAAATGTTTTTCTTGGTTATGCAAAATCGTTATGGGAACATTTCATTTTGAATGTTCTGTGAACATTCTGAAACAAGTAGTACAATTTTTTTTAAATTAAACAAATTTCCAACTAAAATATGTCAAGAAAAACCATTAAATAGCAATAAATAATGTGTTTGTAAAGACCAGATAACTTTGAACGAACATTCTATGAATATTTATATTAAAATATGTATATAATATAATATTTTAGTTTTTTGAGGTGAAAAAGTGAATGTTTTCCAACACTGGTGTGTGATGCTTTTTCACTGAAACCCAGAATAACCTTGTTTCTTATTATCTTACAGACCTGCAAAAACAGACGTCATACAGTGCTGCGGTGATCCAAGACTTCCTGTTCATTCGGTTAGTTATTCACACAGTTAACTGAGACCAGCTCTTTGTGAACATAACGTTAATGTTAAATGTTGCTACAGGGAAGGCCCATTCAGCTTGTTTGGATAAAACTAGTGAGAACGATCCTGTTTTGTGTATTGAAACTTCCTGCTGTTCTCCTTCAACCCAGGAGCCCTCAGTCCGGCCAAAACAAACCCATGAGTCAGGACAGGGCCAGTCCAAGAGGTCAGTGCACCAGAACCATACTGAGATGTCTTCAAACAACATCACGTGTTTCTCATTGTTCATGTGTTCAGAGCCCCACAGGAGAGAAACTATGGTCCAGAGCAGCTGAAGCAACACGATAAGGTGGGAGCATGCAAGTACTCATTTTACATTGTAGTAATGTTTGGCTTGAATTCAGGTTTGTACATTTAGTTTAATAGCATAAAATGGACAAAACCTAATGTTCAAGTCTTTTGAAGTCTCTGCTTCCATCTTGTGGTCCAGTAAAAAAAACAAAAAAAAATTTTTTATCCCTGGTTTTATTGGCAGTGTTAAGTATCAATGTATCAACTATATATTATAGTTTTAAGTATCAACTATATATTATAGTTTTTTTTTATGAGATATTATTTTTTCCATTTTCTCGTTTCATTTTCATTTAATTTGAATATATTTTTAAAGTGTTACTTTTTAGTTTGAGCTTATTTAGTTGTAGTTATTTTGAGAAATGTTGCCTTGGAAACTAGCTAAAAAGTTATTTTATTTCAGTTAATGTTTATTTTGATTTCCATGTAATCATTTTTTAACCCTGTTTATTGGTTGCAGGAGTCCACCGCAGGACATAACTCTGCATCTGATTATATCCAAACAGTGTCATATGAATCGCAGACTACCAAGAAAAAGTAATACCAATATTATGTTTGGAATACTAATGTACTACTTATTGCATACTTCACATTGTATGCATACAATTTTAAAAATATGCATACTTTATAGTGGTTCACATACTATATTTTCTAAATGGTATGATAAAATGTAATTTAAAAGAGCATCATTACTCCAGTCTTCAGTGTCACATGATCCTTCCGAAATCATTCTAATATGCTGAATTGATGCTGAAGAAGCGGTGTTATGCAAATCTTCCCACACAGTGACGTAGACATGTGGGGGCGTGTTTAAACGAGGCGTTTTAGGAGGGCGAATATCTCTTTGGGTTTGAGACTTTAGTCTTGCCAACTTTAGGGATCTTATCTATTCACGAACAGCTTGTAACACTCCAAAGAGAAAGGAAAACTTGAAATCGCATCTATATAATATTTAATATTTTCTCTATTTGTTTCTGCAAGTTTTATATTCACATTTAATATTAATATTTTTGTGGAAATCTTGATACATTTTTTCAGGTTGCAAAGAACATCATTTATTTGAAATAGGAATGTTTTGTAACATTATAAACGTTAATCGGTTTAATGCATCTTTGTTAAATAAAATGATTAATTTCTTCCAAGCATAGCCCATGTCATTTTGTCCCATACCTGTTGAACTCACATTGCTGTTTGGCTCTTTTCTCAGGGTGAGTTTTAACTATCCAGTATGGCGCTATGGGCCAGTTGATCCTGAAGAGCTGATGAGAATCAAGCGAAGGCAAGTTCAACCTCAGCAGCCCAGACAGTCCAACACTTTCAGAATACTACAGGAGGGACTAGAACGTGAGTGTGTTCATTTCACTGCATTTCTTGCATTCAGACCTCTTGAATAATAAGCATAAGAATGCCTCACGTAATAAAAACACACATGAATTGTACAGGAACATCACTGCCATCTGGAGCGGTCCAGCGGAGTCAAAGGTTTCGCACTTGTGAGAGATGTGGTTACATCATTGTGTAAGAACCCTTCGATTAAGCTCAAGAAAGAAAAGTGATAGTGTTCTGATATTTTGTCTAAGTGTGTTTTAAGTATTCAAATACTTTTGAGGGCAGTTCATGTCAGGAATGCATGAAGATCACAGGCATGTTCAGCTCAGTTGTCTGTGTGTCCTGCTGCAGAACTCAGGTGGTGAAGATCAGAGAGAGACGCTACAGACACGTGGAGTGTTATACCTGCAGGGACTGTGGCTTTAGTCTCATGGAGCGAGGACATTTCTGTGTGGATGAGGAGCTGTACTGTGGGAAACACGCTCAGCAGAGATGCCAGACAGCCAATGGCCTTCACTCACCCCTCTCTCCCTAAAAACACTGGTGAGGAACACTTGAAATTAATGTTTTAATATGTTTTCAGCTGTTTTATTTTACTATCATTTAGCTGTTATAGTTCTTATTAATATTTTGAATCAGTTTTTATTTTTATATTAGTTTTATTAATTGTATCGTACGTTTTTGTCATTTTAGTAATTGTTTTCTTTTTAAGTATTTTATGTATGCCTATAAAGTTTTTTTTTTTTTTATTAAATATCAGTTTTACTTTAAATTAAAATGAGACATTTGACTTGCCAACTTGCTGGAATATTTACTTATTTAATTTTTAGGTTATTTTCATTTTATTTCTGGTAACAAAAGTGTTTGTTTGTATAGTAATAATACTGGTTTTCAGTAGGAGTATTTCATAGACCATGCTCATAATTTTTAATGATGCTGTTCCAAAATTTTTGTAATAGTGGCAAACGTATAATTCACCTAAAAATTCTGTCTTATTTTATTCTATGCAACACAAAAGGAGAAATGATCTCTCTAATCAATGAAAGTGGATGGTGACCAGGATTATCAAGCTCCAAAAAGGACAAAGAAGCACCATGAAAGCATCACAAACAGTCCTGAAATGTTCTGAAGCCGTGCAATAGCTTTGTGTGAGGAACACATTGAAATTTAAGTCGTATTCAATACAAATCATGCATTAAGGGATAGTTCACCCCAAAATGAAAATTCAGTCATCATTTACTCACCCTCCTGTCGAACACCTATGAAGATATTTTGAAGAATTTTGGTTACTAAGCAGTTTTGGTCCCCATTGACTTCCATTGTATTTTTTGTCCATACTATGGAAGTCAGTGGGAGCTGAAAATGTTTGGTTACCAACATTCTTTAAAATATCTTCTGCAGAAGAAAGTCATACAGGTTTGGAAAGACATGAGGATGAGTCAATGATGACAGAATTGAGATATTTAGCTAAATTATTTCTTTATTGCACATGTTCTTAGTCCTCTGTAGAGGGCACTATTTTCTATTCTATTTCACTATTGCACTACAATAATTAAATGCCTGCAGTGTGTGACTTTGAGCTGTGGCTGAACGATGAACTTATGCTTTCAATAAATGTCTGGCATCATTGTGAAAGAGATGACATCATCAGAAAGCATGTTAATGCTATAACATCGAAAAAAGAGTGTGGCATTACATGAATAGCAATTCACCTCAGTAGCCTGCAGTCTGACCTAATTGTATTATGTAAGGGAATACAGTAAAAGAGAGTTGTTCGAGGGACGTGCCCTGTTGACTTCCACTCCCCATGCAGAACTATGAAGGCCCTGAATGACTGGTTTCAGGAACAATACAAACACGCATTATCCTCACGAAGGAACGTGCTGTTTGTTCACGTAATGTTTATTATTAAAACCCTAAATGGCAATGGAGATTCATTAGTAATGAATGATGGTGACTTGGTGGTTTGTTTACCTAACTGTGGAAAAACAACAGATGAATGTACAATTATGAATTATGAAACAAGCTAAATTTATATAGCACATTATATAATACAGATTCAAAGCAGCTTCACAGTGAAATAACAGTGTTAATGTTGCAAAATTCATCAAATGACTTTAATTTTAGCTGTAAATGCTTATTTCTTCGGTTTACTATACGAGAGTGAGGAATGTTTTACTTGCAGAAATGCCATTACAGTCTTTCTTTTTAGTTTAAACTCAAAAAGCAATAAAATGACAACTGTGTGTTCCCTTTTTTTGTGAGCAATGAGAACTGGTCGCTGCCAGCATGACAGTTCAGTATAATTGTAGCTTTGTGTCAGAGCTCTACAGTTCTCTAATGTCTAAATTTAGTCATGGGGCATTTTAATTACACACCTCTGTTAAATTGTCATAACTGAAAGGAACATCATAGAATTATTATTATTATTATAGTCATTATAAAGCAAATACAGGAAAAACAGAATTTTTACAGCATTTGTTATGCAAAGAGTGCGTTGCGCAATCTACGTTGCGTCACGCCAGGCCACGCCCACACGCCGTTGCTCAGGAGTGTGGGCGTGACTTTAGAGTGACGCTCTCACTTGTTGCTTCACTGGATTAACTTTTCCAGCGAAACATTAACGGACCTTTGACATATTGAAACTTCTCGCTGGGCAGGACAGCTCGCGCGTCCTGCTCACTTTTCAGTCCCAACTGAAACGAGTTGGGTTTTCACAGAAATGTCTCTGGCAGAGCAAAGCCAGCAGTGGTTTCCCACTAGCGTCCAGGTAACGGTGCTCCAGGCGAGGGGTTTGCGGAGCAAGGGGAAGAATGGCACCAACGACGCGTACGCCATCATGCAGGTGGCCAAGGATAAGTTTTCCACCTCGGTGGCGGAGAAGAGCGTCGTGCCGGTGTGGAAGGAGGAGGCCGCGTTCGACCTGCCGCTCTTTCACCCCAGTAACGCGGAGCGCTTCACACTTCAGGTGTGTGTGATGCACCGGGCGCTGGTGGGACCCGATAAAATGCTCGGACAGGCAACCATCAACCTCCTGGAACTCCAAGACAATAAATCCCGTAATAAAACTGAGTGAGTGAACATACTATTTTATATAAACTATATATATATATATATATGAATAAATAAAGCTTTTGTGCTGAAAGATGGCATCAAAGCTTCCTTATGTGGAAATTATGAGCTGAGCTTTGAATGTTCTTGGACTTGGTCACGGTAGACCGAAAGGAACAGGGTGGGATTTTTTTTTCCTCAACCAGAGACCTCACAGACCTCCACAAATTACTCAGAATCCAGTCTTTTTATGTTAACAGAAGATGGTTTCTTAAGGATCAGAATCAGATTCCTAAATGGAATCTAATAGAATGTGGAGACAATTCCTCTTTTCCTCTATCATAATTGAATGAAATTCCATTAGCATTCCTTTGGAAAGTTTGTTAAAGGTCAGTGCAAATCTGTTTGACTGGATCTGGTGGTTATTCCATCTCTCTCTAATCCAAGGCCACTCGGCATACATTATGCACAGACTTAATGAATAAATTAGTTTAGCTCTAGACATCATTGTAACATCAGTCACGGCAAGCAAAGTTTCGGACTGACATTTACAGAGCAGCACAAAAATCCATCAAAGCATTCTGACCTTGGATTTGAGGAGCTTGGTTTAAAGAGCTTGTGTTTCTTCACCTGTTCTCTGAATGACTTCCATTGTTTTCTTGTAAATGCTCAAAGCCTTTGATTAGAACCTGCCTGGCCATTTTCATTACGAGTCCTAATTCAATCTCATGAACAAAGGCAGCCAGCGCTCGTCTGGCCTTCTGCCGAATAATTGTTTTGCTCTATAAATTCAGCTGATGTTTGAGTCAGAATGAAAGCTGTTTTTTAATTAACTAGGCCACTAGAGAGCTCAGCTCCTGAGTCTTTTTTGGGTCTGACTGAGACATTTCCTGTTATCAAGTGTTAGAGCTTATGTCATATCTTGTTGTGTACCCGCGTGGGCTGCTGTTGCCCCAGGTCAGAGGAACCGGAAACTCACTCAGGTCTCTCTAAGTAAGCCGACTCGCAGATGAAACTGGACCTTGGCGTTTCTTGTAAACCGATCTGCAGTTCTGATGGTGATTTTGAAGTTTGATCTCTCAGGGTGTGTGTATATGATTGACAGTCTTGTGGTTGACATCAACAGGGCGTTATCGCTGGGAAACATCGCTTTATTTTGATGTCACTCTTTTTATGTTAGGAACAGCTTGATCATTTGAATATTCCGGGTTCAGTGCAAGTTGAGGTTCCACTTTCAACATGTTCTTTTTCTTTAATTAAAACAAAAACAAAAACAAATCAAGGTTATGATGAGGCTCTTACAGTACAAGTGAATGGGCCAATATTTGGATAATTTAATAGCGTAAATGTAAATTTAGGTTGCCACCATTCACTTTTATTGTGGTGATTTTGAAGTTTGATCTCTCAGGGTGTGTGTATATGATTGACAGTCTTGTGGTTGACATCAACAGGGCGTTATCGCTGGGAAACATCGCTTTATTTTGATGTCACTCTTTTTATGTTAGGAACAGCTTGATCATTTGAATATTCCGGGTTCAGTGCAAGTTGAGGTTCCACTTTCAACATGTTCTTTTTCTTTAATTAAAACAAAAACAAATCAAGGTTATGATGAGGCTCTTACAGTACAAGTGAATGGGCCAATATTTGGATAATTTAATAGCAGAAATGTAAATTTAGGTTGCCACCATTCACTTTTATTGTAAGTGTAACCTGTATTAGTGTTGTTGTTTTTTAAGAAATAAGAAATAATTTTAATGTATTTTTTTGTGGAAACATCGATTAAGCACAGCTTCTGTTGAACCCAGAATATTGATTGAATTTCCATGGAGCTGATTCATTCTTTCTGCCTGCATGAATCAGAAGACTTTAATAACTTCCTGTTCTTCTCATTGTTGTCAATTTCACTGATCTTCATATCAGTATTTTCTAATCTGCTGTTCCCAGAACTAGTTCCTGGTTTTTCTTTTATCGTAACCTATTAAAATCATAATTTATTTAAAAAGAAAGAGTATTACTTATAAAACTTGTAATTAATAACACTTAGTGTTACACTGTTACTTACTGTTCAAAAGTTCAGGGTCACAGTGAGATTTATTTATTTTTGAAAGAAATGTATACTTTTATTAAGCGAAAGTGCATTAAATTAATCAAAAATGACAGCAAAGACATGGAAAAAAAAATCAATTTTGAAAAAATGCTGTTATTTATTCATCAAAGAATCCTGAAAACAAATATATAATGGAAATATTGCTAAGCACAGCAGTTTTCAACACTGGTAATAATAAATATTTATTGAGCAGTAAATCAGCATATTATAATAATGATTTCTGAAGGACCATGTGACACTGAAGACTGGAGTAATGATGCTGAAAATTCAGCTTTTCAATCACAGGAATAAATTACATTTTAAAATATATTTAAATAGAATACAGTTATTATAAATTGTAATAGTATTTCAAAATATTGCTGTTTTTACTGTATTTTTGATCAAATAAATGCAGCCTTGTTGAACATAAGACACTCCTTTCAAAGACATAAAAAATCTTAAAGATCTCAATCTTTTGAATCAATCTTTTCTTGTGCATTTTAACAACCCTCAGAATCTGAAAATTCAATTTTGTCATGTAATTCACACCCCTTTGTGCACATTTGTTCTCACACTCAAATTTCCTCTGTTATATTGTGCAGCCATTTAAATGAAACAGTATTTTAGAGAAGGTTAAATATCTAACATCCCTTTTCTGGCATCTGATTGTTCTGTTTGTGCCCCAGTTCTCGCTCAGGCTTTGACATACGTCACACGCGCTGCCTGATAACTCATTTTCTCTTAGCGTGGCGTAAAGTCAAGGCTTGTCAACTGCTTCAGACTTCAAAGTCAAGAAAACACTTGGTTTTCTCTCTCAGTCACACATATAGAGGATATGCCTAAAATATGCTAAATGCCTCATGCTAATACAGAAGGCATCAGCCGTTTCTTTCTGCGTGAGTCGTGACCTCATGCGCTGACACTTTATACACAGTAACTCTTTCCTGATTCGAGGCAGAATGGGAGCACGTCACCTGTCTGCTCCGATTGTCACCTAACAAAGTTTAGTTTTTTGTTTGCAGACACTTTTCTTAATACAAAACCTGTAATATTACAAGGAGAAATAGTGTTAAATTCAATGTCTTTTACCTCAGCAGAAATAATTCAAGATTATGAA